TGAATTTGGTTATTAAGTCTAGAAGACTTTTGGTGGAGTTCTTGGGGTCTTCCATATAGAGTATCATGTCATCTGCAAATAATGACAATTTGACTACTTCATTTCCTATCTTTATTCCATTTATTTCTTTCTCTTGTCTAAATGCCGTGGCTAATGTTTCCAAAACTATATTGAACAGGAATGGTGATAGTGTGTCTGGAGCAATGCTACATAATTTTAAGGAAAAAATCATTTGATTAGACCTAGTTCTCCTGCCTACTGGCCAGCTATGGCATTCTGAGACATAATTCCATTTTGGCCTCTGGTCAGGACTGAGACCTCAATGATTCCGTGATGCTGTGATGCTCCAGTGCAAGACCACACCTGCAGGAGACACCCTGGGAGGAACCAAATCTTCATCTGCATAGTTCCTAATTGTTCTTGGATTTCCGCTGCCCCCCAGTCTTTTGTTACACCTTGTTTATCCCAATGTGAGGTACTGAACTCTCTGCATTTCATTTGTTACATTTGTTTCTCCCGAGGCACTGAATAAAAGGTGCTGCAAGCTAGGGGTCTTTGTCTTTGCTGCCCAGAGCAGCAATGATCAGGCCCAAAGCTCAGCTTCTTCTCCAAATCTCATTTTTCCTACCTTTCCTGTATAATAAGTTAATTTGCCTTGTGCTGCCATGGCTCACAGGAGACTAAGACTCACTGCAGAGGTTCTAGTAATGTCCCCTTTCCCTGTTCCCTACATTTGGCGCCCAATATGGGGTACGAACCCATGACCCTGTGATTAAGAGTCCCATGCTCTACTGACTGAGCTAGTGGACATCCTTCTTTGGTTCCTGATTTTAGTGTGCAGGATTTCAGCTTTTCACCATTTAGTATGATACTGGATGTTGGTTTTTCATAGATAGCTTTAATCAGATTGGGGTAGAGACCGTCTATTCCAATTTTTTGTAGGGTTTTTATCATAAATGCGTATTGGATTTTGTCAAATGCTTTTTCTACATCTATGGAGATGATCATATGGTTTTTGTTCTTGGCTCTATTGATATAGTGTATCACATTGATTGATTTGCATATGTGGAACCATCTCTGCATCCCTGGGATGAATCCCACTTGGTCAGGGTGTATGATCTTCTTGATGATCTTCTGCATTCTATTTGC